AGAGTGACCTACTTAAAAACAGCTTGTTACAAAGTTACTAGGATATTTTTAAAACATGCTAAAAGCTGAAACTCAAATTTCTGGTCTGAATCAGAGGATTTCAAATTTCTAATGTCCTTCACAGGAGTGAGTAACTTAAGTACTATGGTACTTGCTCTTCCAGGATGGTTTCCAGACATCCCAATGCAAACCGAAGAAAGAAAAAAAAAAAAATCAGAAAGTTTTCATCACAGCCCTTCCCAGGCAGTTCTGGTCCCATTTGTTCTGCTTTTTCTCCTTCATTTCTCATTCACTCCCTTTCATTACAACCCTGCAAAGTTTACTCTAGTTTTCCCAATTTAAATTCAACCCTCTGACCTTTAAAGAATGTCACAGCTTTTTATCCTCCCTGCATCTCAGAAATCTTGAAAAATAATATTCAACCTCATTGCGTGTTACTTGATTTCTTTCTACGGACAATTCGTTTTACTTGTTTAGAAACTCATGCTTCTTCCCTTCAGTTGTTACAGCTTCTCAAGCAATTACCGAATAGACTTCGATCTCCTCCTTATTAAAGGCAATGGGCCACTCTCAGCTGGCCTCAGTCACTGCTAGGACAGGGTGCTGAGCAGTACGACAGATCTCAATATTCAAACAGAAATTGTGCTCTCTGTTTTCTCTCACTTCCTTCTCTTGCTTTTTGCCTTTTTCCTTGCTTTTAAGCTTTTTTTCTCCTCTCTTTTCCTTTCCACCCTTCTCTCCTTCCTTTTTTTTTTTTCATGGACCGTCTGTAGCAGGATAATTTCACAGTTCTCTACAAATGCTGAATACCAATATAACATTTAACAGGAGCCATCGGCATGGCCCTGCCTACCAGTCCCTGGGTTGTGTCTGACCCTGCTTCCCCTCACTGGGCCTGATCCTGACTCCCACCTGTGGGCTGACATCCCAGCCTGGCCTCAGGCCATCCCTGTCCCCATGGAGGTGCCTGACGCCCAAGGCTGGGGCTGACCCCAGGGAGCTACTGGCCCTCGCTCTTTAGGAAACCAAGCTAAAGATATTCGTAAAAGTTCACAGAGCCCCCCCAAAAAAAAACAAACCAAAAAAATTAAACCCTGAAGCTCTGGTTTACTCCTGCACACAGTTAACACCCACTAAAATCTATGAGTTTTGTGTTTGTTCCCAGCAAGCCCCGTAGACTCTGTGGTTTTATAGTTTTCATCTTGGATTTATAAGAAAGTCAGCAAGTGAGAGTCAAGTTTTTATTTTGGTTTTAAAGGGAAATAAAAGTACCCAATTTTAAAAAGACATTAACCAATACGTCATTCCCTAATACTGCTGTCAGAGATAAGAATCTAGCCTCTACCAAGTACTTGGCTATAAAGGCAGTGGGTTAGTCAAGAGCAGGCAATAAAGCACTAAAACACTAAAAAACCCCACCCCGTGTATTCCAAAGGCTGTAAATTAAAACAACAAACTAAAACTTTAAGGTGAAAACAGTTCTTAAAGTAAGGTTTGCATAGTTTCAGTTTCTCAGAACCTACCAATATCACTTTCATTAAAGATTAATTCCCCCCCCCAAAAAAAAAAAAATTAGCCAGGTGTTTCTCTTTCCAAAACAGTGTATCCATATTTCTGCACTATCTGTGGATCAATCCCAGTACTCCTATAACAATACGAAATCCCTGGAAAAGGAGGCTTAACAGAGGCTTTCCTTTCCTGAGCTGATAGTTAAAAGTAAATATTATAAGAGAAATGTAATGCGCTTATTTCCCTTCCGTTGTCATTTAACTAAATTTTTCTCAGCTTTCAAAAGCACTTCATTTGAAAATAAATAAAGATTCAGTTAAAAATAAGGAAGAACAAAGATGACAACGATAAGGCATTCATCATTGAGTTTCTCACAGATATTTTGATGTGTTCATTTGTGGGTGGAGCCTGACTCTAAATAAATCACTCTCATCATTCTTGAGTGTTTGAAAAAATCTGCGCAGGATCTCGAGGAAATGATAGAATGAATATATAAATATATGTATGTATTCACAGATACCCGTATCTCTATACACGGATGGATGTGTAGACAGAGGCCAGTTCTGGGGGAGAAGGCAGGGTATAAAGGGGCAGGGCACAGAATGGCATAGGGTGGTCTAAATAGCATTTTTACCACTTCATTCTAGGGGGACAAAATGAGTCAGTAAATTCTACCTTTTTTAACCAACAATCATAGAGAAATAATAATCAATGCCTTTGTAAATGGCCTGAAAAACTGCAGATAGAAATTGTGCTGTAATATTAATGATCCACATTCGTGTCTGGCATAAATCGTTTTAGTTTCATTGGCCGCCTTGAATCTGGGCCCATTCCGTCTTCTGAACTTCTGTTGCACAATGTGTCGATGACGTACAGTTCTTAACATTTAAAATATTTTTTTTTTTTTTTTATTACTCACAAGTTTACTTACATTTTACAAAATAAAGAATAAGTAATTACTTTGACTGAAAATAGTCACAATATTACTTGACTGAAAAAGTCTGAAAATATGCTTTGTTTTGCTTAATAAAGAAATCTTAGTGATAGGAAGAATTCTTCAAAATCTCTCCTTTAACAAAAGGAGACTTTAACATGAGAGTGCGACAAAATATTTAACTATCTAAAACTGAACAGATTATTTTCTTTTTGTGAATTCATAATACCAGTTCATAAACTTTTGCAACTAAGTTAAATTTACCGTACTCATTCCACTGATCTCTTGTTGGGTAGTGAAAAATAGCGGGACTAATAAATACAATTTTTGGACCCACTTTTGCTTCTCCCACCTAAAAAACACATGACACAAACAGAAATCACTAAGCTTCAAGGAAAAAAAAAAAAGCAGCAAATTTTATTGCATTATCTTCGAGCTATAGAAGGCCAAACCCCAACCCTCTGGGTTCAGGCAGATGCAAAGCGAACATGAATGTTGTCTAGGAAATATCTCTGTAGAGCCAAATAGAGTGTGTACTGTAGGCTGAAGGTTATATTACTGATTCCTGACCTCTCCCCAAAAATGTCTCTCTGCAGCTCACAGGAAAGAGTCTGTGAAAGTTAATTTCTACAGGTTGGTGTGAATCTACAAGCATTGTGGGTGTTCAAAGAACAACTTTCTAGTCATAAGCACAATCACAAGAATCCACACTTCAGCCAGAGTTTCCAATAAATCATAATGAAAGGTCAGAAAAAAGAAGAAATTCTTGATTTTGGTTGTTGGGATTTATCTGTGCATATAGCACTTGGGGTCCCTATTAGGGTTAAAAGATAATAAACTAGGGACAACAATAACACAAAAAGTAATATTAAATCATCCCAACATTTTTTTTAGCTCATTTTGCTGATTTCTGTGCTCAAAGCTAACACAGAGGCTGCCAGAACTATGACAGTTTTTGCTTTTCTATCTCATAGGGAGATGTCTGGTTGTTTTGGCTGAATGTTACATTTGTCGTGTCCTGAACTGGTGCATTCTCATTTGTTCCTTCTAAAATAATCTTGATGATTTTAAAGCCCAGATGAGCAAGTGCAGTGAGATAGGGGAGGATCAGCTCAGACATATTCAGACATCTACACTACGTGCTGGTCACTTGTACAGTGAGTGGAGACCCAGTCCGTAAAGTCAGTGAAATTCAAAGCATGATTCATCCGAACAAAAGTAGACCACTGCTTCACGATGAGAGCACTGGATAGTAGTGCCTGCACAAAACAATTCAGACGCACATAGCAACAGATAATACTGGGTATAAAGGAGTCTAAAATGACCGGCTTAGACATAATCACCTACACTTAGATGAATACAACCCCTGCTCTGTGAAGGCAAAAACAGGTTAAAAAAAAAAAATCGGTGTTTTTTCCCAGTCTACCAATCTAGCAGATTTTATATTTTTATATAATCTATTTATTTTACATAATCTATATATTTTATAGAATCATAGAATCATTAAGGTTGGAAAAGACCTCTAAGATCATTGAGTCCAACCGTCA